CAAACTAGTCTCTCAGTTTTTGAGCTATCGGGATGAAACTTTCCCAAAAGTCTTCTTTCTATTGCAGGTAGTATATATGTCGGAGCCGACCGGATCGGACAACTATATCTTATAGCTCCCATAGGAACAATCGGAAAAAAAAAACTTTAAAAAATTCTAACTTCGGTGTTTTTTGAAATATTACCTTCTACTTTTGGGAATGTTATTTTTTAAATATATCTGAATTTCGAATTAATTATTTAAAAAATCGGACTACTATATCATATAGCTGCCATAGGAACGATCGGAAAATTAATGGAAAAGTAATAGGAAATAAATTTTAGCTTCTTTGGATTTTATTGTATTATCTTCTACTCTAGGATATGACTCTTTTTAAATATTTCCGAATTTCAATTTTAATTTAATCAAAATCGGACGACTATATCATATAGCTGCCATAGGAACGATCGGAAAATTAATGGAAAAGTAATAGGAAATAAATTCTAGCTTCTTTGGTTTTTATTGTATTATCTTCTACTCTAGGATATGACTCTTTTTAAATATTTTCGAATTTCAATTTTAATTTGATCAAAATCGGACGACTATATCATATAGCTGCCATAGGAACGATCGGAAAATTAATGAGAAATATTAGAAAATTGAACATTTTTGCGATTTGTTAATTAATAGGAATGATCTGCAAGGGTATATAAGCTTCGGCTGGCCGAAGCTAGCTTCCTTTCTTGTTTTCTCTGTATCAGAGGCCAAACGGAGCAAAACCGAAATTCAAAGGCAGCCAAAACCGATAGTTAAACCAATTAGCATGTTCTTGTTTGCTCACCTCAAAGGGGGATGGGTTGGGGCAGGGGCAGAGGGGTGGTGTTGGCTTTATGGGGAGGCGGTGGGGGTGTTGTTTGTTGGAGGTGTTTGTTTTGAACGGAACTTTGGGACTTTTGCCGCACCCTTGGCCACCAGCAAATAAATGCAGCTGCTCAACTGAACCGGTTACAGGTTATATTTCACATGTTTCATGCAGATCTTACCCGTTTTAGTAATCTTTGGGATGCATCAGTTGAACTTTGTTTAAATGGGGGAGAATGCAGATGAGAGGGGAGAAGCTACAATTTTGTTTTTGTATTATAATGAAAATTGTAGGGGTACCCACATTTTGGATTGTATGAGAAGTATATGTAATTTATAAAAATGTTTATTATGCGGTGTTAAGGTGTGATTTAAAGGTAGGGTAAAGCAGAGTTTTTGATAGGTCTTTTTGGATTGCAACCTTTTGATCATATTTTAGAGTATGATTAAATCCCATTTTCTGCTCTTCAAAAAACCCCTCACACCTCAACCTGTTTTCGCGCCATATTTTTAACTATCCAGTAACCGATTTGCATATCTTTATGGCGGACATGATGTGCTGTTTGACATTGGGGGAAGCTGACTTCACAACAAAACCCGATATCGCAATGATCGGATTTACGACAATGTTACAAAGCAAAAAAAAAAAATACAAAATAAACAGAAAAACACCCACAAGTCCATGACGATCAACACGCCCTCTGGCGGCGGTACTTGGCGGCTGTGGCTGTCATGCGATTTTCTCCGCTTTTGACACATTTACACATTTGGTTTTCCCATTCGGCATTCGGCTCTTTCATCAGGCTGTTGTTCACACGACTCTGCAGCGCGTTTCCTCGCTTTCCACCACTTGGCGCCCGATTTTCACCATTTTCTGTACACAGAAAAAAATAATGATCAGTGGGAATTTTTTATTCGATTAATAAATATTTATTACTCGGTTTATTCATCTGATTGTTTTATACAAAAATATTTTGTATCATCCAATTATATCATGTTAGATGGCTTTAATTTTTTTCTGTGTAGCTTTCCCAGACGCGGCTCATTTCGCAGCTGCATACCGCCCATTCTAGGCCCTCTTTCAACACTCTCCCTCCATTCTTTCCACTCATTCAGCGCGCTTTGCGGTCGCTTATTATTGTTATTCAAGCGTACCCAGCATATGAGCGAAAAACAAAGAGAAAAGCGTCGGCAAATCGCCAGAGAGGAAGATGAAAAAGTTTGAAAAACAAAAACCGCATTAAAGGTTCATTTGGCTGTCGCTTTGTTTGCCTTTTACAATAGCGTAGGTTAAACAGTGTGGCTAAGGCACTCACGAACTCAGATACTTGGCCATTCAGATACAAAGATACTCGGATGCCAAGATAGGAACGGGCCAGTCTGCCGCTGCCGTTGGCCTAGATACAAATTGGCACTTGGCGGCGATGCAAGCGTGACACGGATGTGTTGTTAATAAAATACTTATTCTGAAACAAAACTTAATTTAACTTTAAAATATATCAATTTATTAATTCACATTTTAATAAGTGGTTTTTTATTACGTTTTATTGTATTTAATTTATTAATTCTTATGTAGATCAATTAATTTAATGTGAAGTTTTACAAAAATGTATATTATTTAATTTCTTTTCATATTGTAAGATTTTTAAATTATTATCCCTTGACACATTTTAAAAATCGGACAAGTTATGAAAAAAAAGGGAAATGACCGCTAGGTGGAGCCAGTAGCTTTGACGACTGCATATCTCGGAGTACTGGACTTAAGCGTTCTTTGTTCTTTTTTTTTTGGTGTTTTACCATTAATCAGATTAATCACATTTAAGCTTAGTATTTAAATCGCTGATATTGCATCAGAAATTCACGATCTAAGTGTCATCGCCAGCTGTCTTTTGTTTTTCAAGCTTTTCTCTAAAGACTTTGATGGTTCCGTCTGTCTGTTTGTCCATTTGTTGTTATTGCGTTGCTTTGGCTTTTCCTGCAGCACTTTTGCCACTTCATCGCCGGATCTCAATCTCAATCTCGATCTCAGACTGGAAATGAAACTACTGCGATTGCGACTTTAACTGGAGTGAAATTATTACTTTACGCTCTTGACGAAACTGCTTTGGTTTTCGATTGGCAGCCCCACTTCAATGTTGGTGGCCCCATCTCCCCTCGAAAACCCCTCCGAAAATCCCCTGTCATCAAAAGAAATGTTAAGAGCTAAATCGAAACGAGCGGAAAATGGAAAGCACTTCGAGACGCTTTAATGCCATCAAGCGATCAACTTCAATGGCTGATTTTACACCCATTAAACGTTGGCTAACCAATGACAATTTCTTCAATTTTCCTTCGCACATTACCCATCAAGTTCTGATGAATTGGTATTTGATAAAGAATTCCTCTCCATAAAACTGACCCATATAAGAGTGTTGATCCAAACGACATCACGTAGCCTAGGAATTTATTATTATGCTGTTTGTTTATTTGTGGCCCCCTTCGTTTTCGTTTTTTCTCTTTTTCCCATCCTAAGCCAATAAGTGTTTCGAATGTATTCAAGTTCCCTGAAGAGGCCTCCATACTCTTTCTATTTAATAAACAACGTTGTTTTCCGTGAGGGTATTTCCATCACTCATATGTACAAGCCATCAAAAATTAGACACGGCATCCAAACACTGGAAAGAAACAAGAAATAAATAAAAAACTGAGTCAATCGTGCGGGGGCAGCAACCTCCAAAGCCAAATAAGTTCAACGTTGTGGCTATTTAAATTTATAATTTACATTTTCAAGCTGTCGCCTTCTGCGACTCGGCGTAAATATAGTTTATAATGCTGGCTTTTAATAAAATGTCAGTCAGTCATGGTCTCATTGTTTTTAACATGCGTCATGACAAATTGTTCATATTATTCTGTTCGGGATGCTTAAAGCAGATGCTGATTAAGAAGTGTGTTTATGGGAAGCCTCTAACGACTAGTTTTACGGAAATTGAAAGTTCGTGCTCAAAGTTAATGGCTTTGCAATAAAAAGCTTTGGAAAAGAAGTGGTTGTGCTTGATGATGCTTAAAGATTTTATTGAAATGCTGAACATGGATAATCTGGGAAGTAAACTTTAAAATTTAATCGGGAGTGGATAGTTCTTTTCATAAGATTTGGCCACTTTCCATAATTTTTAGCTTATGTTTTTTAAAAATATTAGTTTATAATTTAATTAAAATTCATTTAGCTTTCTTGCATTACTTATTTATAATCTGAAAAAATGTATTTATTTTGTAAATATATTTTACAACAATATTTGGATTTCATTTAAGTAACATTCTTCTACGAGTTTCTTATTGTTTATTAAGGGTTTTTTTCTGTTCCTAAGATTACTCATGAATATTATTTCGCCCTCTGATAATCATAGAGTGGCACTGGATGACTCCATTTAAGCTGAGATTGAAACTTATCGTCCGGGAATAATCAGTTATGCCGGAGTGCCAAGTACTCAGTGACCCATATACGACAGATTGTTTGATTGATGGATGTGGATGTCGATGTGGAGATGGAGTCCCAAAACACGATCCGTGATTTGTCATCGCCCACGACATAAATTGTTATTCCCGTTCCGTATATGGAGTGTCATGTAACTTTTACTTTTTCAGCGGCTTCGGCAAACCAAAAGCGGGAAAAACAAAATACAAATGTCACGTTTCAGAAGGGGCCGAGTGTATATATAGATGGGTATTAGAGTAGGTTAAACGTTGCGCAACCCGATACTATTGTAAATATTTGCACAAACATGTCATGTTTGTATGCCATAATTGGGTAACTCATTTTGCGACTAACTTCTGATATCTCTTTAAAATTACTTAGCAATATTGGAAATATTATTGTTGAAGTAATTTATTATTTTTTATAAATATGTCTTAATTAAAAGAAATGGTATTCTAGGTAATATTTATTGCCAAGTTATGGGGATGTCATAAATTTATAAAGCCCAAAGCTTAAGAAATAAACTAGAACTTTTGTGTAAGGATTTAAGTAATCCTTTGTTAATAGAAAATGATGTTAGTTGCTAAAAAGTGTAATATTATATTAAGAGTTAAGAATTTAAAAAAATTAAATATTAAGAAAATTCCATTTTGTATTTATTTAATATTGTTTCAATATAATTAATCCTGTATTATTTTTCTTCTTTCAGTCTGTGCAATAGTCGAATACGAATATGCGGCCAAGGAGCCGGACGAGCTGGATCTCCAGAAAGGTGCCATTATCCATCGGATCAAGCAGATGCCCGGCGGCTGGTGGCAGGGCACTTTGAAGTCCTCCGGGACTACGGGCATGTTTCCGGACAACTTTGTCCGTGTGCTGGAGTCCGGAATCAGCAGTAATGGCAACGGGACCACTGGGAGTGGCGACCATATCGACGAGGCAACAGCTGTGCAACTGAGGTTTGTCCATTTCGCCCACTTTTGAATGACGCAATTTACTGAATTTACATTTTGTTCCTCCCGAAAATTCAGGGACAAATCCGCGACATCGAATCGCCGCTGCAAAGTCATCTACAGTTACACACAAGTCAACGACGACGAACTGACGCTCGCCGTGGGTGATGTCATTGAATTCCTAGGGGAGGTGCGTATACGCAGGGTCAACGGGGGGTTTGAGGGGGTTTGCTACCCCCATTTAACCTATTGGGCCAATAGAAATTGAATTTCGTTCTGCACTGCGAGAGAGTTTGTTATAATTACTCATTTATACGAAAGTGTTTAAGCTTTCATAGTTTTTAAAATATAATATTCCTTATAAGGAGATATTTAAATTTCAAAGAAAGAAACCAAAAATATTATCTCTATTTCTTTATTTAATTTTATTTTATTGTTTTTTAATGCGACATTGTTTGAAAATAAAATTAAACAAGAGAGAACGCTATAGTCGGGTGCCCCGACTATCAGATACCCGTTACTCAGCTAAAGGGAGTACGAAGGAGATGGAGAAAAACTTTGATCCGCCGTAACTTTTTAACGAATGGTCCGATTTAAAAAATTTCTTCTACATTTCGATAGGTATTGATAAACACAATAACACTGCATTTTTACTTTTCCAAAATATTGAAATTTGTAAAATCGTATATAAGCGATTGTGGGCGTTAGAGGGGGCGTGGCACCCTTTTGAAACAAACTTGCGCTGCGTAGGAACTCCTAGAATCTGCATGCAAAATGTCAATCTTCTAGCTTTTATAGTTTCCGAGATCTCAGCGTTCATACAGACAGACAGACAGACAGACAGACAGACAGACAGACAGACAGACAGACAGACAGACAGACAGACGGACAGACAGACGGACAGACGGACATGGCTAGATCGACTCGGCTAGTGACCCTGATCAAGAATATATATACTTTATGGGGTCGGAAACGCTTCCTTCTACCTGTTACATACTTTTGCACGAATCTAATATACCCTTTTACTCTACGAGTAACGGGTATAAAAATAATATATATACACCATGAATAATACAAAGTTTCGAAATTCTAAACCACACTGAGGAAAGATAAGAATAAAGAAACCCCTCGATTCCAAGCTAAGTTTAATTATCAGGAAAATAAAATGATCTATTATTGAAATTATATTTAGTTTTCAGAGAATTATTTTTATTTTATTAAAATTCGAAAATTGGAAAATAGAATCGAATATATAATATTATTTTTAATTAGTAATACCAAACGAGACACTTGATATCCCTCTATTTTTGAATACCCCTAGAACCTTCTCGATTTTCTCGCAGTGCAGTACATTCGGTTTCAGTCTGTTCATTTCACTCATTGCTGTTCCACTCTGTTTTCTCATTTAGGTCGAGGAAGGCTGGTGGCGCGGTCGTCTGCGCAGCAAAGTCGGCGTCTTCCCATCGAACTTTGTGCAACATATCGAGCCGTCTCCCATTTTGGCCTCCAAACGGCCACCGACAATTGGCGCCACCGTGACCACATCGTCGCTGACGTCCAAGGCGGCGAATGTTGCGAATGTGGCAGCCACATCCACAGTTTCAACTGGAGGAGGAGGAACCTCTGGCACCACTGGCACAACCAACAACTCAACAGCCAAGCAGGCAACCAAGAGCAGAGTAAATACTGCAGGATCTTCAGCTCCAGCGGAAACAGCGGCCATAGTTTCGGGATCGGTATCAGGATCTGGAGCAGCATCTGCAGCACCTGCAGTAGTTCCAATGCTGCCACCCAAACCACAGCGGGAATTCTGCCGGGTGGAGTTCCCCTACGCCCCGCAAAACGATGATGAACTGGAGCTTAAAGTGGACGACATAATCACAGTGATCACCACGGAATTGCCCGATAAAGGCTGGTGGAAAGGAGAAATCCGCGGAAAAGTGGGCGTTTTTCCCGATAACTTTGTGAAAATGCTGGCACCCTCGGAAGGTGAGTTTTCACTGGATTTCCCTCTCAATATTGCATTTATTTCGCTTTTGATTTCGGTCTGTCAAGTTTGTTGTCATCAACTCTCATCAATGCATTTCTCCCCCCAACTTAATTGGAGGCAATTTTCCAAACGCATCGGCTCTTAAAACTCAAGTCGTTAGACTTCCAAATTGCTGTCGTGACGTAGAGAGCGCGGGGATCAAAGTCAATAAACGTTTGTTTGGTAATTGAATTAATTAAAAGAAAAGACATAAGCCGCACCCCACAACCTCCCCGCCGATATCCTCAACTCGCTGCATATCTCTTGGATCGTTAGTTTTTCATCGTCTGTGGAAAATTTGTAGATGACTTAATTGCCGCTGGCGAATATGAATCAGATATCTTTTATCACCGCTGCGTAATGCACTTGAATTTAACAAGGGATTTGTGTGCGAAGCTTTTTATAGGCGCGCCATAAATTGGCTGAATAATGGTTGATTTTAAAGACTCTTAACAAGCTTTTTTTTATTGTTAGCGTATATCAAGGCTGTTTTAATGTGCACATTTTAGTATCGCTTTTTACTAGTGGGAATTGTGATCATTAACATAAAATAATGTATATATTTACAACTATTTTAGAAAAAACTCTTGGGGTGTACTCATGAATTTAAGAACTTGGAGTTTGTATATAGTATAAGGTATATCATATCATCAAAAAATATAGCTATTTTTAACAGAGAGAAGATTCACAACAATGTTATTTTTCATAGAGATATAAAATGTATTTATTATATTACCTTGCCAGATGGCTTTTCACATTTGATACGATTTAATAGCAGACACCATTGACATCCAACGACAGTAGCTAATGGGATAAAGTTTTAGATACGCATAGTCGTATCAGTTTGATGGCTAGTTTTCCCCCATTAAAATTGCTGGCACCTCAGATACATCACATCCATTACACGCACCTCACGCACCACGCACTTTTCAATTGAACCATTCAAAAGTCTTTCGTTTAAACCACATCTTCAAGTTCGTTATTCCCAGGTTTTATGACTCTTTGATGGAAAATTTTGTTTACCATTTCTCCTATCTACTTTTATGTACCCACTCACATATTTTATATATTCCGATGCCAAAGTCTCATTGGTCTTTCTCTCTGTAATTTTTCCACAACACTTTTCTCTTCCTATCTACTCCCCGTTTTTTTATTCTACTTGTACTTCTCTCTTTCTACTACGATTTCCTACGAATTTTGGGTGTTTTTAATAAATAAAACTGCAAACTACAAAAAACACTACTGTAACACACAAAACACAATAACATGGTGCAAAAGCAACAGCAGCTCCACCAGTGCCACGCCCACGAACCCGTGCCAGGGGCGCAATGGGTGCCGGATTTGGGTCCGGAATGGGACCCGACGTTATAGACGGGGTCCGTATTCCACGGCGGACGCAGCGAGGCGGCTCTTTCGAGTTCTTGGGCGCGCGTATGGCCAGCTTTATCACCACGATTTGTATGTAAAACGAGTTTTTCCAGTAGGCAGCAAAGCAGCCGAGTGAACCCCTCCCTCCCTCCTTTCTTCCCCCGATTTTCCTCTGGGCTCTTGACTTTTCTTGTTTTTTCTTAGCAGTTTTTTTCGGCCACTTTTCATTTTCCTTTCTCTGTCGGTGCTCGGTTGGTGTGCCTCCTTGAGGCGTTTTTGATATGAAATGGAAAATTGTTCGGCTTGCAACGCCGCCCCTCTTCCTTCTTTGCTCATAATTTCTATGATTTATGTTTGGCTTAGTTGTGTACTCTATTTTATTGAAAGAGGGTATATTGATAAGCGGTTTGTAGTGGAATTAAAATAAAATGAAAAATCCAATAATTGTATATATTTTAAATATTTAAAGGCTTTCATTCAAATATTGTTATAAATCTTAAACATATTCAGCATAAACAATATGAGTTTTGAATATTATTATATAAGTAGATTTTCATTCAATTTTTTATTTAATATTATACTTTTATTCATTTATATTTATAATGTTATTTCCATTTTTTATTAGAAATAGTATTGCTAATCTGTTGTTTATTTCGTATTATATATAAAGAAATTTACTCACTATTTTAGTACTAAATATCATAATCCTGGCTGTTTAGAGGGTAAAAAATATTTGCTCCTCTTCTTCTGCTGCATTGGTTTATTTATTTGGCTTTCTTTGGGACTCGCAATGCTAGAGGAGTCTGCATCGAGAGGGTGGGCGTGGCAGGAGGGGCGGTCTTTTGAGGCAGTGCAAACCGAATAAAAGCGCTTTGTTTACGATCGGTTTTTCTTTTCAATTGGCGGTGCATGTTTATTTTTTGCCGTACGCCAATGAGTTTGTTTTGTCATTTGCATGGGTGACGACCGAAAAACTTGTTTTTTTTGTTTGCCCAGTTTTCCTCGCATTGTTTGCTTGGAAAAATCAGAGAGTTTTCCCCGCATTGCTTGCAATTTGTTGTTTGGCGAAAAGTTGAAATATTATACTTAATTAATACAAATTATTCCTCAGCATACTTTGCGGTTGCCAGCGGAATTCCAACGTTGCTGGTTTTTCAGTTTTGCGAATATTTATGCTTGGCATTTAATTTTTGCTTTGGTTTTGCTTTTGTCAACGTCGCAGTTTTTGTATTTTGTATTATTTTTTTTTCAACCAACCACCTTCGACACTTGAGCAGCAGCAACATCATTAAAATAAACAACAGTTGGCTGTAACTGGTTTTTGTGCAACCTTTTTTTTCCTCCCGATTTTACGTGGCTCTTTTGCGGTTAGCAGCTCTTTCATTTCGCTCTCTTAGCTGAACAGTCTCTTTGATCATCATCATGATCATCTTCATTAGCGGCGTTTATCTGGGATTCCCCCGCCTTTTTAGGGGCCAAGCCCCTTTTGTTTTAGTTTATCAACAAAGTTGCCAGAGAGCGAACTTACTCTCGTTAAAAAACCCAGAAAAATATCATTCCGCTCTCAACATTTTTGCTTCGTACCTTTGCCAGCGTTTTTATTTACCTTTCAGTTCGCTTTGATTTCTTGACCATTTACGTTACTGAAATATTTTTCGTCGGCGCGGCAAAAATATAAAAAAAAATAAATAGAAAGAAATAATCATTTTTCTTGGCTTTTTGTGGTGCGTGTTCTTGCGGCTTTCTTTATTACCTATCTTTACCCAGTTTGTGTGCAAATGCATTCGTCATAGTTTTTCTCCTCTGCCACATGGCAAAAGAAGTTTTCTTCATTTTCCTCAAATCAATTTGAGATGGGGGAAAAACTGTTTGGGCGCGCGCTTTTCTAATTATGGTTTGTGTGTCAGTCAGGTGTAAATTAATGATTATAATTTGCTGCGTGTCTCGGATTCAAAGTCATCATTAAGTCGCGTTCGTTGCTTAAGTCTTTCGTTTTGTCAGTGGTAATGCGTGTGTGTGTGTGCACAGCCGTTGGCAACCGAACCAAAAAACAAAAAATATCAAAAACCACAACAGCCATCATCATAATAATGACAATCACCTAACGCTCAATTACTCAATGCTAAAAAATATCAAATTCGCGCTACTTTTTTTTATTGCAAATTTCATTTTATTTTGCTCCGTTTTTTTGTCATTAAAAACAGTGAAAGTCGTTGGGCCGAGCGCTTTTCTTTTCTTTTCGACCAGCTTTATTTAGAAATTCGACCATGACAAAGCCAATTCTTTGCTTGGTTACCATAAAATCCTCTTTGGTTTCTTGGGTACATGAGTTTGTCCGTGGGAATCGAAAGATTGATGGGGTGTGTCTAAATTTGGGCATACTTGAAGCTTAAATTTTGAAGAAACAAAAAAAAAACGGTAATCAAAATTGTGAGTCTGATATTTCGATATGACATCACCAGAACAAGTGGGATTATAATTAGAGATGATTGCTGGCAGTGAATCTTTATTGGCTTCGACTGGGGGAACTGTTAAATATATTTATTTATGACTTAAAAGGTGTGCATTACATAAATGCTGTCATTTTATGGCTTCTTAAACACACACAACTTTCAAACTTACTATAAACATTGATTTTCTGACATCTATATTTTGTTAGAAAATTATTATTATTTAGCAAGAGTTTGTTAGTTCTGTTAGAAAGTAATATGTGCTTTAAAATCTGTTTTTCTACTGTAATAATTTTTTTAAGTAGCTAATTGATTATAAATATTTTTGTTAAAGCACTGTACACAGAAAAAAATTGATAGAAGATAAAATTGCTATGTGCTTGTCAAATTTATATTTTTTAAAGGTTTGTTATTTTACATTATTTGTTTAAAAAATACTAAATTCGGTATTTTTATATGATAGGATAAAATATCAAGTTGATATGTTTGAATCATTTGACATTAATATGTTTTTGTTGATATGATGTAATTATAATTGACCCTATTTCATATTAATTTTTTGACTGTGTATGTAGTCATTATCATTCAAGTTTAAAGGGCATTTCCAGTTCGTTGCCTGATCTTTAGATTGCCGTTTCCTGCTGGCTATTGCCATTTCTTTGGGTCTGACCTTTACACATTTTAAGTTTGTTACTCAATACTTTTCGTTGGCTTGAAGTCTTCTTGCTTTGCTTTGCTTTGGTTTGATTTGGCTTTTGTCATCACAACCATTTATTGGCGTTTATTTATGCCCCTTTGCAGCTAGCCGTTTGTTATTTTGGCCCGCTTTGATCCGCTCCTACGCCTCGGCTTCAAATTCAAATACAGATTCATCAGCTTCAAACTTGAGCTTCGGTTCGGCTTTCGTTTGTTTTTCTATTGTACGAGTGTTTTTTGCCCGAGATCGTTTCCACATTAGTTTTATTGACATTTGGCAACAAGTTGTCGGCGCGAAACCAGTTTCGAGTTGTTTTCTGTGCTCAGCTGTTCTGAAGCGGGATGGTTAGTCATGGACCACCTCATCCGAATACGAATTGCTGAATTGCAGTGGATAACGGCTAAAAGATACAAAAGATATTAGAAAAATAGAACTATATAACTATAAAAACAGTACGAAAAAAAACCCATAAAAGACATCATATTATTCTGAACAGCTAAAAATATAAAAAGTGTATCTAAATATAGTAAATTTACCTTGTCAATGCCTTTAAAATATTTAACATAAATGTCGGCGGTGATATAAAATGTTCTGTGTCTGTTTACTAGGGTCAAAATATATTTAAATTACTGAAGAACATATTTTTAGAATTTACTGAATACACAAACATATTTTAGAAAATCTAAAAAATTTTTCTTGGATTATTTGAGTAAATTTTTTATAAGCTTCCTTCCGTTACTCGATAAATTATAGAAATTTCCAACGTTTTCCCTTGATTGCTTTGCATTTTAAACGATTTTTACTGTTGGTAAATAAAGTTAATTGTTTGCATGTCGTTTCGCAGGTGCCAATGGTTTCTAAATATTCTAATTCCAAACTCTGTTTACCCCTTTTCCAGTTGCTCCGATCAACGAGCCACCAACCACAACCACACAGCCTCAAAATCAGAGGAAGATCAGCAACACCGCCAGCACCGCCAGCCACATGACCACAACGAACTCCAGCAACTCCAGCAGCACCACCTCGGTGACCACGCAGCAGCAGAAGGAGCAGATCGGATCCACCACCTCGAAGGTGTACATCAAGAAGACCGGGAGCAGCAGCAACAGCACCACCAGCAGCACCACCACAGCCTCGTCCTCGGCGGGTCGCAAGGAGAGCTTCGGATCCCGTGATTCCCTCAACGATATCCTGAGTGAAACGGGTCTGCCCACCGGCAATGTGGCCGCCCAAAGGAAGTCCCTGGAGAACAAGAACCTGGATCTGACCAAACCGCCGGGTGTCGGCGCCTCAGTGGTTGCCATTGGACAGCAGAGGAGCAGCACCTCCAGTGCCACCACCACCACCTCCTCCTCAGCCACCACGATATCCACCGGACTGACCTCCTCGTCGGTGAGCAAATCCATGGAGAACATGCTGGACGAGAAGGTCAAGTCGCCACCGCCGCCGGTGCTCAGCAAGAAGCCAAGCGTGCCGCTCAAGAAAACTCCCACGGGTGGGGTGCCTGTGGCCGGTGAGTACTGTACAGTAGAGCCTGACGATGCTTCGCTTAAAGGTTGAGAAAATACTTGGCAATAGTACTTGAAAGATAAAGAAAACAGCTAAAGGAAGTGCGAGGGAGATGGAAATATGCATGCACTGCTTGAATGCCATTCCGATTTAAAAAATGTCTTACATTTTGATAGCTATAAATAAACAACCATTCTGCATTTCCACTTTTCCGAAGTCTTTATAAAAATACAAAAAATGTGTGAAAGCTTATTGGGGATAAAGATATGCATCCAGAAAACGACTGCTTGCACTGCTTGAATTTTTAAATTTGAATTTGCTCATAACTTTTTAACAAATGTTTCGATTTGAAAAATTTCTTTTACATTTCGAAGACAACAAAAGTGCATTTATACTTTTCCGAAGTACTAAACACACAAAAAATCCCGTCAAAGCTTATAGAAATTTCCTTAAAAACAAAACAAAGTGAAAGGAAGTACGATAAGATTTATTGGTACCAATTTGTAAAGAATAAGGCAACAATTATAGGGTCGATGGGAAGTAGATAAGGAAAGAAAGCATTTTGACGCGTTGTAGATAAGGATTGAAAGAATTTTGCGTGTACTTATAGCCAAAGCATTTTGACAATCAATTCATAAGCGTTGCAACAAAGGCCACAGAAAGTCCGCTTAACCATGCTAACATTTCATCTTTTAACCTCAGGTAATCTTCTGGGCGGCAAGCAGAAGAAGAATCCCGAGGGCAAGCTCACCACTGCTGTGTCCCATGATTTGGCGGATGGTCTGACGGCGAGTAAGATGCTCTCAGGTGCCAATCAACTACCGGAATCCGGAGCAGCTGGCAACGTGGTGATCCGGAGGGCAGCTACCATCGCGGTGGAGGATACAGACTTCGATCGCGTGGAGCGTTCCTCGATACTTACGGATATGCGGCAGGGAAGGGTCAAAGCGCCCAAGAGACGTCCTCCATCGGCGGCTATAAACGTGCTGGGCGAGAGCAATAATAATTCCGTATACGTAAATGGCAGTGGAATGGCTGGAGGAGGAGGAAGTGCCAGTGAGCTGAGTGAAGATGGCGGTGCTGGAGGAAAAACCTCTGATGACAACTCGACGGGCGAGGAACCACAGTTGGCCAAACCGAAGCCACGCGAGTGGGAAAAGAAGAAGGCGCCCTGGATGGAGGAGCTGAAGGCCTCGCAGGTCACGCGGAAGAAGACCTCGCCCAGTGTGGAGCCCCGCGGAGCTTCGGTGGCCGAAAGGGCCTCCAAACTCTTTGCGGCCGAGCAGGCCATCAGCAGTAGCAGCAGCAGTACCACAACGAAAGTGCAATCTTCGGCGGTGACATCATCGATGTTTGTGGAGAATTCAACGACCAGCAGTTCGGTGACCACCAGCAGCACTAGCAGCACCACCACCAATGATGCCATCATGTCGCGCAGCCTGACGGCAGCGGCCAAGCAGGTCCAAGCAGTCAGCAGTGACGAGGAGACGAGAGCCACGAGGCCAAATAGTCTGGCTATACGAAATCAACGAAGTGTTTCACCTCTGGTTAAGAGCTCCAATGCCAGCAGTTCGCAGTCGCAGGAGGAGAAGGAGAAGGAAAAGGAGAAGCCCGCCTCCAACCAACTGAATAACCATCAGGATGCCAGCTCCACGAGGGTAGCCCAACTGGAGCAGCGGGTGGATAAGCTGGAGGGCCTGGTGCTCAATCAACAACGAACCATCGAGGAGCTGGTAAATGCCCTGAAATCCGAGGCCGAACGCGTCAAGATTTTAAGGAGCGAACTGGACAAATACGCGCAGTGCGTGACGCAAGTTTGAGCCTAGTTAGAATCGCCTTTTAGCTAGCCTTTTGAGTCCTTGATTTTTTAAAGCGTGTGCTGAACAACTCTACAATATACATACAACATACCCAGGCCTAAAAACGTAGAACGTAGTAGAGTAGTAGAGACCGAACCCAAGACAATCCCAAATATCTGTACTCTGTGTTCTGTACTTATATATACACCAGAATGATCTACCCAAAACCGCTAGCGATCAATCGTTTTTGCATGCCAAAACCGTTTCGTTTCTCGCTGTAATACCTTGTATTCCCAACCAACCCCTGTATATCTGATAATTTCGATAAGTATTTTTTATACACTCGTACATTCCGAAAAGCTAAAGAGTGTGATTTATTTTAGCTGCTTTCGATTGCGACTTGTTTTGTTTATACGATTTATGATTATTTTTTAAAGATGTATTAAAGTTATGAGTAAACTGTACTATAAACTATATCCTAAACGTGAGAGAGAAATATACAAAGTGCGATGGAGTTTATAACGATGATGATGATGATGCCTAAAACTTAAGCAATACCAATAAATAATGCAAATAAATACTTCAATGTTTTCTGAATGTTTTTCATTTTCTTATTTCGATGTGATTATGTTTTTCTAATTGTTTTCGAAATGACTGATATAGATAGATAGCGATAGAGAATCAACATATCTAAGCCCGGATAATAAACTAACCTTTCTGATACAATCTCTTTTTTAAAACAGCAAGCAAACGCGTCGCGGGAAATTCGACAATTGGATGTTCTAATTGATCTGCGGACATCGCCGTCAGATCAAAACGTCTATATAAATTGTAATCTGCTAGAGATTTATTACCCACAGACCCGCTTGTACAAAATATTACCTTTTCTTTTGTGATAAGCCTCTGCATAACCAGCTATTCTGTAGTCTAATCGAATCAATCTGCGTAGCTAGCGACCCGCAATTCCCGATTGTTAACAAATATGTTGTGGTTTACTTGGAATTATCGCATTTTGTACCGCTTAAAATGTAAATACTATGTAAATTAATATGGGATATAAAATAAACATTTCATAATTAGTAAAACAAATGGTAAATCTAGTTTAACTGTAAAAAAAGAGAAGGGTGGGGTAGTAGTTGGGGCTCTTGAAATTGGATAGTTTCATTAGATGTGGCTATAAAATTATTAGATTTATTTTTATCGTTTATCATTATTTAAGAAATTGTCAATGCATTTTGAAATTAATCTACCTTTTTAATGTTTAGTCCTGTAAATTTGTTCTATTGATTTTCTTCTTGTTTTATTCGATTTCAATTTCAAATAAGCGTAAATTCGAATGTTTTGAGACCTATTTTTTAAGCTAACTTCATTAAAATTGATTTATTTAGTAAAATAAAATAGCTGAAAGAGCATTACTGATTCTTACTGGTTCGTGTCTTCGCTAACGAAAAATTACGTTCATGTAAAATGTAGGAAAAAATAAAGGTAAGCTTTGGGATAATGTAAAATATAACACAAATAATAAATTAAACAGTATTTTTAAAACAAAAAAAAAATTAAAATTAAAGAACAACTCAAAAATTATATTTTTAATTTTATTACATTTTTATATATTTTTCTACGGTCTCTAAAAAGTTATAGAAAAAGGGAATAATAAAAATATGGTCTTAATCATTAGTTTTGGTTAATTCCAGTGGACTTCAAGCTTGGCTCTTGCTCAAAACAAGCCATCAAAATGTGCGAATCTTGGCGAGCATAAGACTTAGCCAGAGAGCCCGACTTTCGGGCGCGATTTGTTTGCTAGTGGATGGGATTTTTGTTTGTTGGCAGCTGTGTTTGCCGTTTGTTCTGCAAATCGAGTTGGGCTTTTTTGCTGTTGCCTTTCGTGTTTTTGCCTTGGCACTTGGCTGGCGTTCTGTGTTGTGAATGTGGCTAAAACTTGGGGCTCGACCGCTCTCGGAGCTTTTCAGCCTGGCTTCTTGGGCGACGACTTATCAGTTTCTGATCGCTGTGGGAATTCAGTTAATTGTGGACGCTGTAGCCAAACGGACGCAAGCGCGGCGCTCGAGAGACTTTCCGAGGTTTTCCAAAAAATAGCAAAACACTACGTGTTTCTGGTCGTGAAAGTATCTTTTTCCAGTTAGGCAGTTCCTTCTGCAGTGGCCCCACCCTTCTTCTTCTTCCCTCCATTATTTAGGCCCCGAAAAAGAGCCTTTTCAAGTCAAATCGAGGAAAAACCACGAGCAACACAGCTGAAAACCTATTTAAGGACCGTTCTAAAAAATCAAGGATTTTCATTCATATTAAAAGACCTCTTTCGACCAAGTCAGTTAAATAAAGGTTTTTTCAGAGTGTGTGTGTCTATGTGCGTGTGCGCGTGTGTCAGTGTGTGTGCCTTAATCCATTAAAAATAATTAAGCCCAAATAAAAACAACACATGTATATCTAAAGTCCGCGAAAAAATAAATAAATACTTTTGAAAGAGCCATAAACAAATCGCAGTCTACGAAATCCGTTCAAAGCTCGCGCCAATATTGCTCCAATTTAAGAAAACGGCTTAGCAACAATTGCATTGAACAGTCGAACAACAACAGCAGCGAAAAAAACTGAAACTGAAAGCAACAACAACCCGTAAATATAGAAAGCTTAACAATCAAATCCAACAGCAACGACAACGAGGGATTAAAAGCCAGTAACAACTATAAATGTGGTGGGTGCATTATTGGTAAGCTCAGCGGGTTTGGTAAAAAAGTAACGGTTAATAATATGCCACACGGAAAAAAAAACGTTAAGATCATTTTGGAATTGCTTGTGCCAAGATCTGTATTTAAGTTACATTTATTGCATATAGTTTTAAGTTGAATAGTTTTAAGTTGAAAGTTAAATTTATTTAATTGTAATTGGAATTCTTTTTAATTCATTTTTAAGTGAATATTCAAATTAAAACAGAGTAACAAAAATATATTGTAACTTATTTACATTTTTGAAAATATTTTCTAGAGTTTTTATTTTAAAATTGTGTTAGAAAATTTTTTTTTTTAATTTTGATTTAATTTTGCAATATTTTAAAACTTATAATTTTAATTGTATATGTCAATGGTTAGATATGCATTTTAATTTTTTTAAAATGTAAATCGCTTGTCTATGTTTGATATCTTTTTTTATTGATACCAAGAAATTCTGTCTGTGCAGGAATAGTATCCAAAATATATATAGATCGCTTTATAGCCGAATGGCTAAAATTGGCCAAAACCAAAGCGTTTTTATGCGCAAACGCGTTTTTTATGTTTTTAGGATTTTCCTCCCCCCTTTTTTGCAAATTTTTTTTGCTTGGTTTTCGTTTGTTTTGCACTCGGCTTGTTACTCAAATTTTTTGCTGCTGTGTTTTAATTTTTTGTTACAGTTTTTTTCTGCATTTTTGTTATATTTTTTTTGTTGGTAGGCTGCCTTGCTCAACGTGCGGGCTTTGTTATTGTTTTTGTTTTCGGTTTTGGCCATAAAGTGGATTTTTGTCTTCAAATTGTGGAAATCTGGCGGAAGGGCGGTAAGGGGCGGGGCAGGCTGGGAGTTATGTCGGCCAGTCGCCTCAAGGTCACGGATGAAAGTCTATATCGGTGTGTGAGTCAGTCCAATTGGCATGCAAGTGCATTGGTGTTAGAGTTTTAAAATGAAGAAATAATAAAAAAATGACTGAATGAAAAAGTGTTTGTTTCTTTTGTGCGGATTGTATTCCCGATTTTTGATGGACAGGCGTGTGTGGATTAAAGGCATTAATTTATTTCGCCAGCAGATTCATATTTCACACAAACGAGACTTTAATGATCGGTAGATACATATACATATCTCATTATTTTTAGGCGCCCTGCTTATTCCAAACTCACTGTAATAATTAACGGTCTGCTTGTAATTGAGCGTTGATTTAGTGACCCACTGTCCCAGCTGCTGGCATTCAGCTACAAAGTTCGAAATATAAAATCGCTGTGGAGTGAATTAATTTCAGATTTGTCCGATTGAAAGTCCGCTGCCAGCTGAATGCCAAGGAAAAGCTTCAATATCCATCCAAGGGCAGTAATTGTGTGCAATGGATATGGATATGGATTGTTTGAAGGAAAATTTATGGCCGCCACTTAGCAGCATAATTTACGATCTTATTACTGAAACAATACGTCCGAGTTCATAATTAAATTTGATTTCAATTAATAGCACCTAAATTGTGTGCAGAACACGTTCGTAATTTCCAAATCGCTTTAAATTAGAACACATTCGACAAACGACGTGTTTGGATTAATAACTCAGTTAAATGGCCGTAGCTTGTTTATTTTTATGGCCCACTTAATGTAATAAATCAATCATTTAAATAATAAATTGAATGGAAGTTAAATATTTTATGTAACATAGTTGAAAAGTAACTTTTCTAATTGTACAAATTAATAATGCATTTTATTTCAAGAAATATCAGTGCAATATTTTATTAATTTATTTAATTACTTTCAAAATTGCAGCATTAATTTATTATTTTAAATAAGTAAATCTAATAAATACAAATACAAATTATAATTTTAAAACCGGATCCGAAAAATAAATTCCAGGAGATCATTTAATGACTCAATAAATTGTCTACAAGCTTTTATGTTTTATTTGCAATACCTGAGCAAAGTAATTGCAATCTCTATTAAATAAACACTCCTGTCATTACGGTAACTTTTCGTAGCCTCAGCTCGACCCTTAATCAATCAAAGAGCCATATCGATAATGTCTATAATCCAATGGCCCCCACATTCTGAGCCAGATTGCAAAAGTGGAAGCGTTGCCAAACCGTTCAACATTTTTTAAACAAAATCATTATTAAGAGCGTAATTGCACCGCGAAACTGCCTGCAGTAGCGCAGTCGCTGAGCTTTGGCCAAAACAATTAAAGGCTGCAAAAAGTTAAATTAACAAATTATATGCTGCGGCAACAAAAACAAAATGTTGTATAAAAAAAATAACGAAACCAGTGGCAAAAACGCTGACAAAACGCCTAAAAGTCGCGCGCGACCTGCGAAAGATAAACAAACTGGTTGGGATTGCACTGTTTTAGCCAGAGTTTTTAGTTTTGGCCACAACAATGCGATGACAAATGGCCAAAAGAGTGCGCGGAGTGCAATAAACTCTTAGAAATTCCATGGAAATATAAACACAAACAGAAAACGCTCCAATTAGAGACCGCTCGAATGTGTTTTTTGTGACTTTGGCAGAGTTTTTGGCTTTGCATTGACTTTGTGATGGCTTTTTATACCCTTGAAGAGGGTAGTTTATTTAAGATGAACAGGAACCTGTTTTTGTATTATTTACTATAAATATAAGCAAAGTTTATTTAAGCTATTTTTATGGTATTATTTGTAAGGTACTTTTCTAAAATCACATCATTCATTTTTCTTTTTCTTAAACTTAAAACTTATCGAATACATCTTTAAAAGTATACTCATTTTTTATTGCTGGTGATAACGATGTAGTTTAAAATTCGTTTCTGTTTTTATATTCATATTCAAAACAATCTTAGCCATATCTTTACTAAGGTAGAATTTACCCTGACTTAAAAAAGGGATTGTCAAGAACGTTATTTTAGATTTCCTTTAGATGAGACACGAAGAAAATAAAAAATAATAGAAAATTCTTTTAAAAATGTAAAAGCCAATAATGCCGACTTTAAATCATTAAGAGATGAAGATGATTTATAGGAGTGCTTTTTATAATTCTTATAATAATGTTAGGGTTGTGATTGTGTTTCTTTTCTTGGCATTTTTTGGCTGCTGATTAAATAACGCATACGACGTGTGGCCTCTCCCTTCTTTTGCCTTCTTGGCTTTGAGCCTGTCCGTCCCTCAACTCAACCGAGCTGTACTGAAACTGAAATCAAGTGAACTGAACTCGAATCAACTCCACTTCGATTGTTAATGAATTGCAACCGTCGTGCGACATTTTCTGAGTCTCTGAGCGGTAGACGTCGAATGGGTATGAGAATGCGAATGTTTGACAATTTGTCACAGGGTCCAACACTTGTCTCGTCCCCGTCTGAATCTAAATATGAGTGTGATTTTGAATCGGAATCTAAATCGGAGTGAATTGCGGGTGCGGGCCACGTTTGTCCATTTGTTACACATTTTATTTTCTGCCTTTTTGTTTGTTTTGTATTCTTTTTTTGTGTCATTTGTATGGCCATGCATTGTGTGTGTACTTAGTGGCAATTTATTTGCCATTACCTTTTGCCCGCAGTGTTCACTTCTGGTTTTAAATCAAGTTTATTAACCGGAATCTGTCAGTTGACCATTGTCCACAGTTCTCGCCTCGCCGATCTTCCAGTTCCCCGGGTTCTCTGCTGTTCTGTTTTTTTCAGGGCGTATCCATAACTATCGATTAGCATTCTAATTTATATACTAACTGCCCGGAAAGTGTGAGTACGGCACAAATTTAGTAACGCCAATGGGCATTCACGAGTGCGATTATTCCATTAAGATTTCAAGACCAACTTGCGGTTGCTGCACTTCCAAAGAAGGGAGATCAATAATTGCCAAGAATAAATTTATGCACAAATTATTGAGTATATAAAATTTACTAGTGCTGGAAATATATCAAGAGCTATAAAAATAGATTCATTGATTTTTTATTAATTTTTTAATAATAGATGCCATAGTTAGGCGTGTGAATTCCCTAAGTTTACAGCTTAATTATATGGTTCTTAATGTCATTATAATTGCCTAACTGTTTACAACTTATTTAATGGTTTAAGCTAAGAACACGACTTAAATATTTCAATTTTATCCCATCTTCAATAGACAGCCTATGAAACTTAACCCATCATTAATTTCTATATTTTAAAGATCTGCCAAATGACCAGCAACAAGTTCCTAAATCCAAAAAAACTTGTTTGTCTAAAAAAAAATATGGTTTCCAAGAATACAATTAAAGATAATTAATAAATATAGGGTATTCAAGAATCAATGATTTTCCATATTTAAATCCAGTTGTTTTTGGCCTTAACCCAAGTGTTTTGTACGAGTTACCTGCTCCCAGCAAAAACTAGAACTAGAACATATTCCGATTCCAATTCCTATGACAATTATGGGTGCAGCTTTATAGTTATAGACTAGTTGTAATTTACAGACGCTAAACTGCGGATAATGAATGTGTGAACAAAACGACGGACGTCAGAACTTTTACTTTCCTATATGGATGGGCTTTACACACAAAAGACTCGAAAGGCCAAAGAACTTACAGCAGAACCTAATGATGAACATCTGCCAACAAGACAACTAACTACTAAGAAAAAGAGAATAAAAGAAATTAAAATGACGTCAGACAAAAACAAAAAAAAGCTTAGGAATAGAGCAGAAAAGAACAGCCAGAACAGAATAAAATATAATGGATGCCGGCTTAAATGGGAGGTTCTGGCATTTCCATATGACTTTGGCTAATTAATGACCCCTCACTTGGCTAAGAACGAAACTTAGAAACTTTCGTTTTTAATGAGATGCCTGGCTGGCCATAAACATATTTGTTTTCCCCGCAGAATTCCTTAGTAATTAAACGCTGTCTGGTATTAAGTAAAAAATCTAAAAAACTGGAGAGGGCCATGAGTAATTATATTACCTGTGAAGAAGGCTTGATAAGAATTAGAACTGGTTTTTTCTTCGCCTGGCGTCTCTTTCTTTCTTTCGGCTTTTGTCTAGCTTTTTTGTGTTTCTTCTGGCCAAAAAGAAATATGATTTTTTTATGGATTTGACTTTGGTTGGTGTTTAATTACATGGTCTCCGGAGTGGCGGAAATGCCTGAGAACGGTTAATTAAATTATGGCTGGCCAAAATCAAACTCATCACCATGGATTTTTTGGCCATCGATTGCAGCAACTTGGGGCTAGAAAAAATCTTGTGGTACCCCCACTTCAATGGCATGCCAATTGCTGGCAACAAAAAGCTATCAAAATACCTTGCCATTAATTATAAATATGTTGAAATTGCAACAGACGACTGAACATCTGTCTGGGTTTTCAGTTTTCAGTTTTGGTTTTGGGTTTTGGGCTTGGCTTTTGGCTCTCGGCTGTCGGCTCTCCGCTTTTTTTTTGTTTGCTGGCCAGACTCTGCAACTTGTTGGCCGCTTCTTCAAGTGGCTGGCTGTAAGTTGCCAGTTGCTAGTTGCTGTTGCCAACCTGTTGCCAATACAAGTTCAATGATTCTTCTACACCCAAAAAAACCACAAGCCCTTAAAAGTCTTTGAACTTGGTTAAACGAACTAAACAATAAAAGGGCAAGGCAAACATATGTTAGATACACCCATACATCATAATCTTTATTAAATATTGGCTTAATTTTTTTTTTATAAAATTTGTTTTTTTTGTTTATGTGGACTAATATTTCATATTCCCATTTAAGGCTTAGTACTCAACCCAACAAAAAGTCGTCCAAAACAAAAAACTTCATATGAAAAACAACGTCAAAAAATTTTGTTTCATATGAAGTTTTTGTTTTGGACGACTTTTTGTTGGGTTGAGTACTAGCCCTAAGAATGAAATAAGTTATCATTTAAATATGACAAAAAAAAATAACTGCGTTTTTCAAATCTCCTTTAAACAAACAAGGTATTTTACTTTCAAGGTACAGCCTTTTCTTTTGCAAATCTTATAAAACTTAAAATTAAAATCGACAACATTTTTTAAAATTCTAGAATTAGGTAAATTTTTCTGTAAGTGCACTCAGTTAACTGCGGAATCCGCCGAGACTCTTAAAATTAGCTGCAAGTGCCTCGCGACTCTCGTCGAATTCTGGTGTGAAATGCACCTTGACATTTGGCGTAGATTTTTCCCATGGCTTATCGATTAAACGGAATGAATTTGTTTTCGTACTGCGATTTGTTATACGTTTGCCAAATATTTTTAATGGCAGTCAATCTTGGTAACCTATCCACCACTTCGATTGCTAATTACCGCTTTTTGTCCACTCTAATTGCAGCCATTAACCAGAAATCCCAAGAAACGACTCTGGACAGAATGATCGCAGAGCAGCTGGTGGTCAAAAGTGGCCCAATGAATCACTGAGAGAAACAGGAGCCCCAAAGGAAAGCGATCCCCGGCTTTAAAGCACAGAGAACAAAAGAAGCACTAAAGCGCTTGATTAACAGGTGGATTAAACCGAAAGCGGAATGGCACACTTTTGCTGGCTCCTCAAATTCGGTTTTTTGCTGCTGGTAAGTGTCGCTTTAAGTTTGTTACTCACTTATTTATGGCCAGGTGCTCAAAGAATTCCAGGGAACTCGTTGGATTTTCAGCCAGAGCAACGCTTAAGTTCAAGGCTTAGTTTTGGCCATTTAAGCTACCAAATTAAACTAGTTTACACTCCATTTGAAGCCGTTTGGTATTTGCTTTTAATGGTTTGTAATTCTTGAATTGTTTGGGTGCTTTTTTAGAAAGTTAAAAATAATTGTATTTATTTAAAATAATACCATTTTGTTTTATACATACCCTCTTTAAGATTATTTAGTAATTATATCAAAATACATCCGCAAATAAATAATATCATTAAAAATTGTTATGGATTCAATAAACGCTTTTCAAGAGTAGCTGATGAACTCATTTTCATTTCATCACAACCGAAGGCAATCAATCAATTTATTTGATCTTCAACTTGGAAAGTTTCGTTTTCCTTCCACACGGATTTCGAATCAAACAATCGAAACAAAATTGATTCAAATGGCACCAATCTAACCCCGAAAAATGGAAAACTTTAAAGTCCAATTGAGACCTCATCTTTTGTGGCCAGCAATTTCCCAGGCAGACAAAAATGCAATTGCCAAATGCATTCGCATTCACATTCACATACACAGGCGGTGGCTCCATTAGCTTGGCCAATGCATTTTGAAAAATGGTTTAATGGTGCGATCGCACTCCATTTGTTTGCCGACTTCGGTTTTATTAGCCCAAATCATCCATAATTCTGCTGGTTGGCTCGTTGGCTTGTTGGCTAGCAAATGCATTTGGAATTAATTTTTACCACACACTCGCTTTTGTGTCTGGCCGGCACTTTATTGACTGCTCATTAGACAGACCGAGTTGATTGTGAGTAATGTGGAGTAAAGCCAGGCTAACTGAAGCCGAGTAAACTAAATAATTGCACGCGATTTAAAGGCACTTGGGTTGCCTGCTATACTTGGAAAAAATATATGGCAATTAAATGCAGAAAGTTGACAGAGAATTAAAGAGCTCTGTGTGGAAAACAGAAAACGATTTGTGTGTTTAAACCAGGGAACGAAAATAACTGTTATTGTAAATTTTTCATACAAAAAAATCACGCACTTAGAAGGGTCCTAAAAATTTTTTAAATACACCACAATTTTTATTAGCCATTGTAGTTTACAAATCCGTAATGATTTTTATTTTTTGATTTTTATAATAAAACTCAAAAAATAACTGATATTTTTTGATTTTTATGAATAACAGTTAATCCCTTGACATTTTTGAAAAAATGAAATAATTTAAAAAAAACATAATACCCGTGCTTTTTATAACTTACTAAAAATTTGTTAAAAAAGGCAACCGCGCATATTTTATACCTATATTTTTTTATACCCTTGCAGAGGGTATTATAATTTTGGTCAGAAGTTTGTAACGCAGTGAAGGAGACGTTTCCGACCCCATAAAGTATATATATTCTTGATCAGGATCAATAGGGGAGTCGATATAGCCATGTCCGTCTGTCCGTCTGTCCGTCTGTCCGTCTGACCGTCTGTCCGTCTGTCCGTCTGTATGTCTGTTTCAATACCGTTTGCGAGCTCAGTTTAAAAGCTAGCGCCTTGAAACTTTCACAGTCGTCCTAAAACATGTGTACGCAGATCAAGTTTGAAAGCCGACCCGATCGGACGTCTATATCCTATAGCTCCCATAGGAACAATCGGATATAGCTTTCACAAAAATGAAGATATTTCGCTCAGTGTAAGAGCTATTGGCATGAATCTTTGTAAATCGTATTTTTTTGTGCGTACCTTGATCAGGGTAAAAGCGCGTGCCGATCGGACGTCTATATCTTATAGCTCCCATAGGAACAATAGGGTGAAATCGGTCAAAATTTGACGTTTTTCAGGATATTTCGCGCAAAATATTAGCTATTCCCATGAAACTTTCCAAATCGTATTTTTTTGTGCGTACCTTCATAGCTCCCATAGGAACAATAGGGTGAAAAATTGTAAAATTTTATTTTTTCAATTATAAAATATTTTGTTGTTTATTAATTCATGTTGCTAGTCTAGTCAAGTTTTAATTCGTAAAATCTGCAAGGGTATTAAAACTTCGGCTTGCCGAAGTTAGCTTCCGTCCTCGTTTAAATTTAGTTTACCCACAAAATCGCCATAAATCAAGTTTGAGTTTTATTTTGATCACGACGAATAACTGTTATTTGTCAACTTTTATTATAAAACTCAAAAAATAACAGTTATTCTTTGAGTTTTACTTTACAAATCAGAAAATAACTGTTAAAGTGTGATTTTTAAAATAAAACTTATAACAGTTACGTTCCCTTGTTTAAACTGATTTGGAAAATATTTATAAAGTAACAAATCTATGGTCTTCAGGACATTAATTTTTAATATTTATTTTCATGAGTACCCACTAAAATATTTTTCTAAATTCAATTTTAATACTTTTAAATACATACAAATTGAAAATGAATTTAGCATTGTTTTTATTAAAATTAGGATGAACTTCATGACAAAAGTTTATATATTTTAATATTTTATTTGTCTTTAATTTATTTGTTTTACTTTTTTCTTTTTTAATAAAATCAATTAGTCTTTTGTCTACCCATTTTTCTGTGAGTGTTCATATGCAACTGACTATTTGGACTGCCTCTGTTTATTGTGGCTCCGACTTTTGCTCTGCTTGTAGCTGAAACTCAGACTCTGTCTTTTGGCCATTCAATGGCGATGACGACGGCAATTTGCAAATTATGCACAGCGGGGCAGGGAGTGGAAGTGGATTTGAAGCCCCACCACCGCCAGTAGAGCAACTACATTCTAAACTCGGATTTTCCTTGCGATTATAAGCCATTATTAACCCACCGAGGCACATCCGCGGCTCGGATTACCCGCGAGTATTCATCAAATAAACAGTCTCGTTTATGGTGTTGAGTTACTCCTAAATGTTCTGGCGGCCAGCATGGGTTAATTTCCCACACAGCAATCCGTTTTCGTTTTTGTTTCATGTGTCTCTGCCATGTAATTAATAAATGTGTGTTTTTGTGCCACAGCCCAGGTTGATAGCTGCAATTTGGATCGACTCGCAGTGGAAGTGGAGTCTTATTTTGATTCTGCCCCATTCTGTGGCATTGAGCATGGCCCTAATGTGGGCTGCACTTGGCTGGAAGATCGATAGTTCGATAAGTGCACTGGGAAAAATAAAGCTGTACTTTAGCAACTATTAAAATTATTGTAAATTTTATTATTGCTATATTTATTTGAAAAGTTGTATATTTCTAATCGAAATGGAAAAGGGGTTTAGAATTTTAGTACATCTTACTTTTAACAAAATATCTTTTATTCTTTATTGGACATAATATTACGCTCGAAATAAAAATTCAAAAACAATGTTTTTTTTAAATTTGACATGCAGTACAAATTGAATACTCTACTCCACTTAAAATTTGACTTAAATTCATTTTGAATTGATACTGAAAGAATAAAAATTATTAGACCAAGAATATATTCTGTTCTATTGGACTCAAAATAAATATTAATTTAATACTCGGTAATTTTTCTTAGTGTATAAACCTCCGCTGGCGTTAGCCTGTAATATTGTGTACACAATGTGTTTTTATTTATCCCCAGCTGACGACAGCGGGTGGTGGCTTAGCCCGGCGAATGTCCGATGTCTGCTAACAGAGATTAGACTTTGGCCCGGCCAGTTTAGGCTGGGTTTCGTGGGGAAAATGGACCCGCTGACACATTCACTTGGCCACCGACTGTTTTTCGGCTGCAACGGTGGCTGCTGCTCCCAGGAAAACCGCCCACTTCTAGCACAAAATGCCCGCGGACAGCACAGCACTCGAAAAATATGCAGAAATGCCAGAAATGGGGGGGTTACATGACTTTTTCCGCATTCGATATCTTAGTTCGTGGCCTGAGTCACTGGCCCCTCTCTTCAAATCCTGTTCATACATATAGTACATATGGTAGTGGTAGCCCCATATCAATCAAAATACTTCCGAAATTTGCATAACGCAAACACATGAATTCAATCTGTCAATCCGTGGCGTTTGTTTAGTGTCAAGCGTGTAAAAACTGAAATCACGATGATTGTGGCTAATTAAAGTATCGAATGGCAGCATCAGCGGCACTTGAAAGCCAATCGAGTGGGCCAAATGATCTCGAATAAAGAGAGTGCTCATTAAGGCGTGATTATTGCTTAATTGTTCGCTGTCCATTCACGCGCGACTCCAAAAGGCACACAAGGCGGATACGTGATATTCTGAAAGTTGACTCTTTTTGACACTTCCGCTAAGTTGACAGCCGTGAAAATTGTCGCCAAAACGAGCGGCACAATCGAATGATAAATTGTCGAATACCCAGGGCAAAGTGCAAAAGAATGTCGAAACAGGATTAGCCAGCTACCTGATAAATCAATCAAGATTAATAATTGCTTATCATTCCGATTGGCTTTTGGTTGAAGGAACCCCAAAGTCCATTACCCAATTCATTCATTAAACTGGAGCACGTCACTGACCAGGCGTTTTAAATAACCCCACAATGGAAAGGAATTCGCATTGTTTCGATTTTTTGATATTTTTAGAACGTTTTTTTATGCTCGCTTTGTCTTAGGGCGAAACCGAAGCCCTTTTGTAATTGTCACTTGGTTAATTTGGTGTCAATGCTATTTTCCATTTACCATTTACCATACATTTTCCATTCAACGCCCGCGGTCGGTTACTTCTGCAATTTTAGACATAAAAGGCAAGGCGACCCGCCGGATGACTAACCGATCTAGTGATATGGCTATATAGTAACTGGTTGGTCAGTCAGTCGGTTGGTTAGGTTGGTAACTTTAGCACATGTGCGAAGGTGTTGTTCGCTCAAATCTGCTCTAGAAAATGCTCGGCGACAGGCGCCCACTGCACTGCCGGATGTTGTTATTGTTCTTGCTCAGGGGGATATTAACTGAAAATATAAAAAATGTAGGTACTTATACAAACAGCATGAATAATTATGCTATTATGTTCGCAGCAGCGATCGCTTTAAATTATTAATCGAATATTTGATTCAATTTTCGCCATTTTTCATTGTTTTCAATTTGCGCCTTTCAAAAGTGTTTGGCTAGTATAAATGATCTGCCTCGTTGCAATTAGCAATGCTAATACTTATGGCGATCGATAAATATCCATAAATATGCTTTATTGGCAGGGCGAGTTCGTGCCCTAAGTCTTTTGTTTCAGCGGTGGGTGTGTGGCGCTGATAACAATTTATGGCCGATCTCTGGCCATGAATTCGCACTGGAGTGTTAAGTTACAGTGTTATGGCGTAGATATGGATGTAGATTACCAAGCTAATAAAACAACTTAATGGTGCATTAAATTCAAATTATTGTTGGATTGAAAGGCAATAGAGGTGTTAGCTTGCAGTAAAGGCTTAAAGGAAAAATCAATTAAAAATCAATTGTGTACTGATTTTTAAATCACTTTGATCTAAGATTAAATAATTGGTTTAAAAAACGGTCATAAACTATAAAATATTTTGAAACAATTACCAATTTATTTTATAAAATGTATATTTAAATTACACAAATTATACATTTTATACTTAAGTTCTGACTCAATCTCTTTTAAATTCGACATTCCATGATCTGACAAATATGAATATTGTGAATTTACCTTGAATTCAGAATTATTCATCGAAAAGGACAAAACCAAAATGCAATCCGACACCCATAAAAACTTGTCCTTTAGTCAAGTGGGGAAAATTACTTCCTCAAACCGAAAACAGGTTGATAAGCCGCGAGATGAGTCAGTGAAATGCATGCAAATCGGTAGGAACATAAATATCTGAATGCCGCCGATTGACAGATTGACCGGCAGGCAGCGTTTATGTAGTGTTTTCCATATTTTCCACTCGAGTGGAGCGGTGGGTTCCATTTAGACCTAAACCATTGGGCAATCCATAATCCCCCGGCTCGAACTGTTTGTCCGATTGGTGTTTTCGCTACCTTACGCCACCCACTTGAGCACTTGCAACGCGGTTAATTATGCCGCACATTCGCCACTTGACCAGGGACTCCACAGAAACATGCACCACTTCAAACGGAGCACCGCTCTGAAATTCCACTGATGTCTTAATAGACCAACCGCCGCATTATTATTCAAATGCCATCGAGTCGAGAGGTCCAGATCTCGGTCGTCCATTGCATGACTTTTGCATATCTGAGCGCGACATGAAGACATATCTCTCGGCGTATGTGGATCGATACAAATGATATTTTAATTACGCAAATTTATAAATAGATCGCTGAGATAAGCTGTAAATGCGATCACCACTGTATTGCAGTTGGAAAAGTGTAACTGAAATTCTTTGGAACTTTGGAAATTATGTCCATTAATATTTCTAAAATTACTAATAACACCAGTTTACAAAAAAAATCGATGAAATATACCATGAATGAAACCTTTGTTTTCCGGTAAGGTACGTCTTCCTGATTAAGAAAATGACACTTAAAATTTTTTTTATGGATAAAATTTTATTTAAAGTGTAAAAAACGTTTTTGACACTTTTTAAATTTCTAACTTGAGTTGTGGTTACCCGATTTCAACCATAAGTGACTCATTTTACAGGTATTAGAATGCCCTCCAACTTTCATATAAATTGCATTGAGTTCCATTCATTAGTTTAGAAGCTACATTTCGTCAAATATATATATATCTGAATATGTATATTTTTGAGTAATATTTCTAAAATATTATTACCTTTATATTTATTATAATTTACTATTTATTATTAAGTCAAAATTTTCTTGTATTTATCCGTAATTTTTTTCCAAGTGTTTATGCTCTCACTTCTCAATTGCATTTAAATAAAAACTGATTCCAAGGGAAATGTCGGGCATAACTAACACTCCTTTTATCTCTGACATTTTCAGATGTTGTCCGGCTGCCGGACACGCCCCGCCCCCGATCCCGCCCCTTTTCCAGGCGGCAGGCAGAGTGAGCTCATCGCGGGCAACGAGTTCCTCAAGCTGTTCCTCGATCACGATGATCAGCAGCGCAGTCTGCACAGCAGCGAGCAGGATTTCGAGGGCAGAGGAGAGTCCCCATCTACGTTATCACCAAATCCTAATCCTCGCCAGCGAATGGCAACTGGCAGGAGTCTGGATGTGGGCAGGAATCGCTATAGGAATTCCCTGAGTTCGGTAATTTCTCCTGAAGATGAGCATGCTGATTCCAAGCAGGTGGTGAAGCTGGTCACCTCGGGCAGTAAAATAGTGTTTCTTGAAGATGCCCCGAGTAAAAGCAAGGATGAGGTCAAAGTGGTGGCCGTGAGTGTGAGTTCCTCCAGCAAAAGAGGAGGTCCTAGCTCTTCTTCTGGAGCCACAGGAAGTGGCACGGATTTTGTAAACCGCTCGCATAAAAGTGAGCTTTCCATAGAGGAAACGGAACCCCGATTGGCGGGTGATTCCATGGACAGCGAGGTGGATTCCCTGAATAGTGCCTCCAATATACAAAGTGTACTGGCTGCTCCTCTGCTGGCAGCTTCCTCTGCCCATTCCTTCTTGAAAACCAACCAAAGTGAGGTGGCCGATGAGGAAACTGCCTCTCCAGCAGCAGCAGGTTTGCCCTTTCAAACGGTGATTTATCATGACACTAAACAGGGCAGCCGCGGTCCTCAGTCCAGATCGATATCCTACAGTTCCATCTCCCAAAATGTAGACGATTTGCAGACGTGGCAGCAGACGAGAAGTGGTATTCTGGCCGAGGCCCAAAGAAATGTGAGTGAGAGCCTGAAACATGGCCATGGTTCCTCGGAACCCGCGAAATTCTATTCGCTGCCCTCAAAAATGTACAGTGTGCCGAGTAAATTTTACTCGGAACCAGCAAAGGTCTACTCGGAACCCTCGAAAATGTACGGTCAGCCGGAGAAGGTTTACTCAGAGCCCTCGAAAGTCTACGGGCAGCCCTCTAAGTTTTATTCGGAACCAGCTAAGGTTTACTCGCAACCCTCGAAGGTTTATGGGGAGCCTGCGAAGACCTATTGGCCCCAGACACTGACCACCACCACGGCAGCAACAACTAAAGCTCCCTTGGGAAGCACCACTGCAGCCCAGTCTTTAAGTAGCACAAGTACAACTGGAAAACCCCTAACAACCAGCACTTTTGTACCATTGAGATCCCGACCACGACCTGCGATTGTCTCGCGCATCGCTTTTGGCGAGGCCCAGAGTACAGCAGCAACACCAAGCAGCACAGCAGCAACACCCAGCAGCACGGCAGCAACATTGGCCAGCAGGGTCACCACAGTAAAGCCTCCTGGTGGAACTACTTCAACCAGCATCAGGCCAACCACTTGGCAACATCATTATCACAGCTACAGTCAGCAGCAACCAACTCGCCGAGTACTCTTCAATTTGGATAAATTGCCTTATGATTTATTGAATGCACCGCAGCCATTGGATCCAATTTTATCAAAGCACTCAGGTCCGAGTCACTACCACCAGCAGCAGCAGCAACATCTGCAGCAGCAACACGAAGCGCAACAGCAACAGCAACATCCAAGTCCGTGCTGGGAGCAACAACGTCAGCATTCATCACCGCCGCATCAACATTCTAATCAAAATGCCAAAGGATTGCCCAATAGAGGTGAGTCCAAGTCTGAATCTGGTTAAAAAAAAAACAAATTACACTGTGCAGCAGGGCGAGTGTTGTGTTGCAACTGGCAATGCATAAATTAAACAGATCAATTTTCCGCGGCCCATCAAGTTTAATCGCATATCATTTATTATGACCTGTTTCACTTGAGGAAAAGCTTTTAAAGTTGGCAGAGTAAACAAAGTTGGGATAAATTGGGGTTCTATTATGAATCAATTTTCTAGTTTAATGGTATACTATTTAGCTTTCTCAGAGTAATTTTTAAAAATTTTCTATAATGATATAGGATGAAAAAAGAGCTTAATATTATTTTATTGCTGTTTATTTTGCGATTAAATAATGTTAAGTTCTATTTTAGATACATTTTCCAGTTTAATTACACACTTTTTAACTTTTGCAAACTTTAGATTTCAATATATTCTAATTTATTATAAATCGGTTTTTTGTCTTTATATTTTTTAAACCTCTTTTTATTTATTTATGTCCGGTTTGATTTTTTTTAATTTTTCCATTTTTCAACACTTTTGAATTTTTTTTGCAAAACCTTCTGCCCTGTGTACTTATGACAGACAGCGACAACGCACGGGTTTAACCACTTGAACCCCGGCCAACTAATCTTGAACTTATCAAACATCATCTTTTGTTGCATCTTTTTTCTTTTTCCCGATCCCCTCGCTGCAGATCTAGTCAAGTGTGTTTCCAAATTTGCACACCAACATGGAGCAGTCGGATCGGCGGTGGACCCATCAGCGCCATCAACTTCGGGGTCAGGTGGTGGCTATTCGTACAGCTCCAGCTCCAGCTCCTCGTCCTCCTCCTCATCCGCTGGATCTTCAGCTGGGAAACAACAACTGCAGCATCAGCACTTTACCACCGAGCGCCCCGAGCTCTATACTCCGACCTCAGAGCAGAATTACGAAATTGAAGAGTCCGTTAGTGTTATGACAAACGGACGGGCCCATGGACTGCAGGGTGGTGGTGCAGGTGGTGCAACCACGCCAGCCGGTCCAGTCCAAGCCAATCCACCAAGCAGCACCACCGTGGCCACAAATCGTGGCATCAACAGAGGACGTGGCTCGGTGGTTTACAATGCAAATGCCAACGATTATTCGGATGGCAGCGATGACGATGGTGGTGGTTCAGATTCAACGGGGGAGGGCGGCGATTCGGGATCCGAGGGACAGAGCCCCACTGATGACGAAGACAAAGTCGCCTACGTGGTCGAGGGACGCAACTACCGAAAGTATCGCGTAGAGGAGAAGACCGACGATGGCTTCATCGTTGGCGAGTACGGAGTGGTGGACCACAACGATGGCAACCTGTGGGGAGTGCGTTACACCGCCGACTCCACCATCAATCGCAGTCTGATACAGAAGGCGTTGCTCACGTTTCTCAAGCTCAAATAGGGGCCAAATGGTCAGACTCCACGCGGAAAAACACTCGAAATGAAGTAGGAAAAGATGCCAGAACAGAAAAAAACTAATGGAAAATACAGGAAAATTAGGAGAGATTAGAAAACTTTTTGGAATATTTTTAATAACATTTTCAATTTGGAAAATAAGGCTAGAAAGTTAGGGAGCAAAAATTAGTTAATCTTGAAATATTTATTTTTTATAGCCATTATAAAACTTATTACAATATTTCTAATGAAGTTAAAGAGAACAAATTTCCCAATTGAATTAAAAAATTAAAAAAACATTTTAAAATTAAATATTTTTTTTAAATTTATTACGAAATTGGTCTTAAAAAAAAAAAGAATCCTCTTAGTAAAGAAAAGAACAAATAAAATTACAAAATAAATTTACATTAATCTAAATTAAAGTTTCATATTTTAGAAACTGTATAGAAAATTGTTAGACTATATCTAAAACTGTAAGAAAAATTATATATGGTTAGTGAAAAATTCAAATGAAGAAAAATGCGATCCACTTTTTATAATTAACGAATTGATTAAAAACTCTTAGCAATCTCTGGCAATTTTTTCTAGTTTATTACGATGGTTTTTCCGAGTGTCCAAAAAAGATAAACCCGCACTTCCCCACTGAAAAAGAGACAGCTGCGCAGGCATTCACATGTGATCCAAGTCGTATTGTAGTTAGTCTAGTTAACCTAATCCTAGATCTAAATAGATAAACCTAATTAGATGTACCCTAGTACGTAGCCACTAGTTTCAGTTCCCACGAGATCCAGTGTGTGTGTGTTTAGTCAGTAAACGAATTTTGTTTAATGTTTAGTTAATGTTTTAATTAATTTATTGTAGTTGTTGGTATTGTAATTGTAATTGTAGTCCGTAACCATAAAAAGAACCGAGCCTAATTTATTCAGCCGACATTAGCGCACTACTCGAAAAATCCAGCAGAACTAGCAACTTGCCATAAAATCCAGAGCACCTACCTATTAAACAGCATTAAGAACGAAAAGATCGAAAAACTATCCTAATTAGACCACTAAGTGACTTGTGTAGTGAAATAAACTAAATTACATCGAGAGTAAATGGGAGTTGTGCATTAATCATTAATCTCGCAGCGGGCGGGGAACGGATGTGGGATCGGGATGTGATTGGGGAACGATTGGGGAACAGGTTGTCCTGGGGGCGATTGCTCCTCCGATCCGCAAAGTAAATAGCCACTTAAAATTGATTAAAAACATGCAGCCTGCGGCGTGGAGAAGGAGAGTCGGTTTTCTGGACAATATCATTAAAATTTAATTGATATGAACAAGTGACAAAGTAGCAGCAGGACAGCTGACGCCAAGGAATCGCAGTTGGGAGGGTCGAACGCTCTTATGCATACACTGGGAAATAATTATTACGAAAATGTGTGATTAAACTTTGACCATGACTTCTTAATTCTAATAACTTGCAGATCGGAAAGCTTCAACAAAAAGTGATATAATTTATCGCAGTTCGTCAATAAATATATCCAAAAATTTCACTTTAATTTATAAGAAATCATTTTCAAAATATTTGTACAGACTTAAAAATAAACATAAACATTTTTAAGTTAAGAATTATTTCTTAAATACTTTTTATCATAAAAGTATAACTTGCTTAGCTTCCCTGTTAATAATCAAATTAGGTTTTTTTTTAATTTAATCATATTTTATCTTTGATCATGTTTGCTACTTGAAAATCTAGCTGAAATTGTATAGAATTTAGGGAATATATAGCTTAAGTACTTAAGGTCCCTTTATTTCTCCCAGTACCTGGATTAAAAAGATAAGCAGTGACAAGAGCTCTTCTGTGTTGGGATAATCATAATGCCCTGGCAGCAAAAACCTGCTGGGCTATCACTCTTCCGAGTGAAACGCGGAAGCTAAAAAGCCGGCGAAGAACTGGAAACCCAGATGATCAGATCACTGAGCGATCGGGGACAATACAGAGGAGCCAACCCGGTGACAAAGTCAAGGCGGCCGTTTAGGGCCTTTATAGAGCCACATTTGGCCAATTAAGAGCGGCATTTCCATAAATGTCCAGTGGTTGTTTACTGATCTGCCCCAAGAAATCGAGACCAGTAAATGCGGCACTCAACGGGAAACCAAGTGGACGTGAAGGTCGCTGAACGACCTTGCTTGCGGTCGCCTTCTTTTCACCTGGAATGCGACTCACTCCTCCTTCTTCTTTTTCTTAAAAAAAAAGCATCTTCTTTGGCGTCTGCGTGTCGTCATTTGGCTGGTTTTATTGCCCCTCGGGGACTGGATGTATTTATTTAGCCAACTGGAGAGTGGCCGGTAAAATTTCCACTAATGATTGCATGCGCCAGGTTTCCAGGTTGCCAGGTTGCAATTTCAGCTTCAGTTCCAGATTCAGATTCAGTTTCAGGCCCCATGCTATTTTTAGATATGTGTGTAAGACAATCGGAGCTCGGGCTTTGGTATGCTGTCTTATCGCAAACCGGCAATCACATCCCAAGTTCGAGTCCCCCTGACTGCGATTCTGACCCGGCTGCATCAACGACGCGATCTGCGTGAAGAAATACAGCACATGACCATAAAAATCACGAAGGGAACGTGAGCATCCGGCACCGAGACGAGGAATACACTTGGAATTCCCTTGATTAAATATGCTTATAAAATAAATATTTAATAAATATTATATTGAATTATTATAATCTATATTTTAGTCATCTTGCTTCATGATATGTTAAGTATTACTTAATTATTTGTTGTTAAATGATATGTAACAAATATTAGTCGGAATATTTGTACCTACTTCAAAACATTATAGAGTTCTTTATATTTATTTTAATAATCTTACTTTATAATGATATTTTTGAAATTCCAACGGTTTTTGTTAAATATAATACTTTTAGAATTATTATAAATTCATATATAAATATTTATATCTTAACGTTAAGTTGAGATATATTATTGGGGTACTATATCCAAAATTAGGGTCAAACTTTACTTTTTTTCTATAATATAAACGAAAATCCCTTACAGAGCACTTAAACCTATAAACAATTTCAATAGCCCCATTCAAGGGTATGGAAAAAGAGAATGTGCCTGGCCAGTTGCAGATTTAATGCGAAATGCCAGGGAGGCAGAGACAAAACTGCTGGGGATGTGGATGGCATGGGATGGGGTTTGGACCCATAGGTTGGGGACTCGGCCGTGCCCTTTCTGCGGTCAGCTGCCTGATGGACATCTCCCGAGAGGAGGAGGAGCTGGGCTTTCGAGATCCGAGATGGTTTTGGAACTGGTTATACCGTTGCGCTTAAGTGCGGCAATTACCGGGCGAAACAGTTCTCTTCCCCTTCGCGAGGAGTGAAAGAACTTAACAGAAATAAGGCAAGATGAATGCCAGGCAAACACGTTGCCATTCCACCGGTGCACAGTAAAAATGATTTTACAGGACATAACTTCAGAAATAAGTGTCAAGGTATTTTTCTGAGACTTTAGAAAATAATTCAAATACTAAAGAAATTATAAATATTTTATTACATTTATTTACCTGACGTTTATATATTTTAAGATATTCCCTAATGTGTAATAATAAATGAGGATACTCTTAAATGGAAGAATAGTACTACAAAGTGTAACTTATAGTTTTTTGTTAATGTAAATCTCCATTGAAATATTTATTGTATTCCAAAAATATACGTATTTCTTATCTTTACATTTTTTTCCAGTCCATAATTCTCGCCTTCGGGGGCGTAGAATTGCGTGTCGACAATAAATTTGAAAACTACACGATCGCCGATCGTTATGACAGGTTGACCGGTGCCACGCCCCCCGCCCCCATGTCCTGGTTAGTGGCTTTTTAATGCTGGGGGCGTGGCGCCGAAATGGCCATTCTGACAGCTTTCGAGGAGGCTGTCCACTGGCTTCATTAAAGCCCCCGATTTCGAACTGCATCCGCATATCCACACATCCACATCCAGCTTCCTTTTACTTTTGCCTTGAGCTCTGCTGGCAAATTGCTCGCCCATTGATCTGGCTTACAAGAATCTGCACTTTTCGCCTAGAGACTATCGGAGAGTCCTGTTAATTATTTCGATGCCAGGGAACCCGGTGTATGTAGCTCCTTAATGAAGTCGCCCCAATGCAGGTGAGCAACACGGTGAACAGGCATGTTTTCCCAATTTACGATCCATTTTATTCAATATTCGAGCGGTCGGATGGGGCTGGCTGATCGATCGCAGTTCAGAAATTTATGACATGGCATTATAATTGACCGATTTGTCATTATAATTAGCGTGTACACAGGTCCCAGACACTGTGAGATCCGCAAGCCTAATTTATGCATATTGGGGGGATTATTTTTAGAGAGGACGATGTGATGATAAAACATGAAACAATGTTGCAAAGAGCGGAAGGAATAAATTTAAAGATGCACTTATGTTTATCATTTTGTCATTTATTTTACAGCGATACTAAAATATAAAAGAAGAATTTATACTCATAATTATTTAAAGATTTCATCTCTGTTTCTTATGAGCAGTTAAATTTATTTTACATTAAAAATTGTAAATTTTTAGCATTTTACATATTTACCTAGATATTGTTTCCATAAAAATATAGTTTTAAGATTCACTTGCATATATTATACAAAATATCGGTTTGTATATTGTTTTGGCATTTCCAGATTATTATATCTACATTCATTTTACACATTTTTCTACATTTTAAACAAGCCTGAAAGTATACTTTACAAATAAAGTAACGAATCGATCGATAAAGAAACACATCGTTTTCAGTGTATAAAGACTCTTTTTAATTTAACTGCAGGGTTGAATAACAGTAAATGTTTACCTTCAAAATATACAATTTTGCAATATTTTTCATACGTTTACTATAAATAAATGCATTGCGTTAAGTTAACAATAAGTATTATAGAGTTCAAGAAAATGTGTCTTAATAGATAAAACAAATTGGAGTTTTACTCTTTTTAAATTATATGGAATAGGAAGAGAATTTTAGCAAAAAGAAAATTATGGTAATTTTCTCTCCCTTT